TGAAATGAGGGAACACCAAAGTAAAAGAGCCTCAAACAACTCTCCTTTAATGGTCTGATCTGAGCTCGAACGATTGTGCCAAGGAAACTAAAACAGAACCACAAGGGGCCGAGCTTTGTGCCTTGAGGGTCACCAAAGCGCCACAGTAAGACGGGCTTTTTTATTGAGTAGGACTTCTGAGTCTTTCCTTATGTGCTATACACCCAGACTGAATCAAACCAGCAGTGTTGATCCCATACTGGCAAATATAGTTCTATAACACACACACACATGCACACACACACGCACGCATACACACACTCATATCCCAAAACACAGCAGCAATTTCTCTTATAGACATATCAGAAATGGCACCAACAACAACAGAGGCACACAAGAGCAAAAAAAAAAACTCTACAGACTCCGGTCCCCCAAAAAAACAAAAGGGGACAATCACAGCCTACTACTCTGTTGAAAACAAAAAAAATATATTTAAAAATATCATTAATATAGTATTCTTTTCTCTCATCTATACATGTCCATTAACAGCATTAATTTATATCATAAACAGGACACACACAAAAAAGAAGGAAAAAAGCGCAGAGAAGACAGCAAAAGGAGAAAAGTTCCAGTCGCAGCTACCGCTGCAGAACAAATAAAAATCCATTTTGTCTCCTTTAAAAAAATATCAACAAAAATATTTTCAAGCCGTTCTCCTGTACATCCTTTTAAATATTTTACAAACTGCACAATGAACCGCGGGTAGGGAAGCATTTAAAAAATACACCATAAAACAAACTTGTACATAAGGAGGCAGCCATAAAGAGGGATGAGGAGCAAACACTGTGAGCATGCAGTGGAAGCTCATGCTGCATCAGCATCACAGACGTATTTACAAGGTCAGACGAAACCTGTGGAATTCTACTCTAACATTTGGCTTATATGAATCGATAAAGGATGTAAACAAAACGTGAACGCGTATGTGTAAACACTGCCTTTTGTGTTGATGCAGAAAAGTTATTTTGTGTGTGTTTCTGTGTGGAGCTGATTTCCTTTTTTTTTTCCTTTTTTTCCCCCCGTCAGAGCAATTACAATAAAATAATGACGCACTTTGACTGCTCGGGAAGCAGCGAGACGTTTGTTCTTCTGCTCGTTAAAAAACAAGTTAGAGGATGTTTGTTTGTTTATAGGAGATGCAGGAGGCAGCGTGCCGCCAGAGTACCTCAAATCAGAACGATCAACAGCGGAGAGAAGAGACACCGAGTTTGTCCTTTTTCTGTCTTTAAAGCTCAACAAATGTCAAATTTTAAGTGTCAAAGACAAACATGCGCACTCTTTCACTAATTTGATTTGATTTCTGTTCTCTTCACTTCCAAAGAGGAAGTAGGAAATACAAGGGCAAGTCAAAAGGTTTTAAGAAGGATGTTCTGTTCCTCTCAGGTGTCTAGGACGGCTTTGACAAGTTTTATCATTATATTTTGTCAACTTGTTAGGTTTTAATCGTACAAAAAAAAATCAACTTAAAAATCAGAGGAGCTTAAATGGAAATTGGTTTTAGTCTAGCGCCATCTGTAGAGTGACAAAAAAAATACATTTTAAAATTTGAAAGGAACTCAATTTCAGTTTCGTGACCTAGGTCAGAAGAAAACATTGAAAACAAGCTTCATTATTTAAAAAAATAATAATAATAATAATTTTTTGTCTTATTACTTTTGACTTACCCTCGCATGTTTCCCGAAGACTGCCGTTGCCCTCTCGAGTGGTATTTTCATTAGGCTGCGTAATAGTTTTTTAGTTTGCGGCTATGATCTGACGTTGCCCTTGTGAAAGGAAAACATCAACGTTATTTATAAGTAGAAGAAATTTAGAAGTTAATTTACATTCATCTAGTATGAATCTAATCTTTGATTGTTGTACTTGTTTCCTGTCCTCTTTGCTTAAAAAAAAAACTTTGCAGAGCTTTAAGATGCACATAAAAAAAGTTACACAAAGAAATCACTGTACATGGTAAAAAAAAAAATCATTAGGCATCTCAACAGAATGGAGGTACATGGTGACGCTGAGCTCTTTTCAGGAGGAATCCCGTCTTTTTTTTGTTTTTTGTCGTCCATCAACTGCGGGATTCTTTTAACTCCATCACACTACATTTAAGAAGTCTGTAAAAATCTCACTTTTCTTCTTTGTTGTGTGACACGTCGTTAAAGAAACAGTGGTGCACGAGTTAGAGGAGGAGTTAGGAGTACGAACCACCGCTCTGGTCCAGAGGTGCTTTATAATCCACATTGTTAATGATGAGACCAACACCATGGATACAGTGAGGCAGGGTTGGAGACAAATGTGCTCTGAGCCACAGTGAGGACCTGGTCCTTGAGTGACGTGTGTGTGAGTGAGTATGTGTGAGACAGAGGTGGCAGCATCTCTACACTGCTGAAACCTGTTCATCTGAGAAAGACAAAAAGGACAAAGTATTGTTAGTTTGACTTTGAAGGACAGAAAATCATTTTTGGTTTTTCATTATTTTTTAACTTTTTTTTTGAGACGCTGAATAATTAGTTTGTCTTGAAAAAAATAGTGTCAGTTATTTAATAATGTGTTGTTTGGACAGATCACTGTCTGACTGGCCATGCTGGATGACTGATGAGGATGATGAAAGGTTCAGTGTTTTCAACATCAATAACACTGTCTCATCAACTCGCTGCATTTCCTTTGTTTGCAGATGTTTATCAGAAAGTGGTATCTGCGCCGGTCAACTTTTTATTAATGTAATGTGAAGTTTCGCCTATTTTTTTTTTCATTCAGATCTGAAAAATTGCAAATCTGAAAATCTTTCCTTTTTCTGTAAATCCCTCAAGTATTTCATATTATTTACCGAACATGCTGACATGCAGTTTTTGACATATATCTCTCTCTAATTACTAACAAAATGCAACTGAATGAATCATCACCATCACCATTATAACCCAGGATATTGATCCTACAACAACGTACCATCCTCACTGTCCGCCAGCTCCTGTGGTACGAGGCAGATGCTGGATGGTCTGGAGTAGCTCTGCGCGGACACCGGCGTCCGTGCATCCTGGTGGTTCAAGTGGTGGTTCCCGGCCATTCTCCGTGTGTCAGCCAGATTGCCGGCCCCTCCGGGATTCTGTAGGAGTTTGCTCCTCTGCAGGGCCACGCTGTATTCTGGAGGTTTGAGGTGAGGAGGCCTAGGTAGGTGACTTCCAGGACTACCACCCACTACACCGTCCGGTAGGCCCAGATCCCCCAGAGCCAGACCCTGGTAGCCTGGAGGGGTGGGAGGGGGAGCACGAAAACGCTCATCCTTAGAAGGAGAGGTGATACAGTACACTGGATGGAGGTGTGGGTGGGGAAAAAAAAGAGGAAAGGATGGAATGGAAAGGTGGAGGGTGGAGGAGTAAAGGAGGAGTTGTGTAGGGTGATAAGGTGAAAAGAAAAAGGGGGGATAAATTATAATCATGGAAATAAATGAAATCGTTGTGGTGTTCAACAAAATATTCAACAGTACATGCAAAAATAATGTTTAAACTTGAATGTAAAAAAAGATGAATGGGTGCAGCAGAAACCAGACATGAAACTAATGATTACAGATACTACCAAGTAACATTTATGAGGGAAATATTTTCGATTTTCTAACTATATATAATAATAATATAATATATAATAACATAATAATATATGTTTTAGTCAATATATTTAAGCGTGAGTTACTATCTTTACTAACACTATGGTCAGTTTAAGCCAAAAGGCTTTGTTATACGTCCATTCCTGTACTTGTTCTTTTTATTTTATTATTCTATTTTAGCAGCGGCTGTAAACAAGGCTTTATAAAGTTGTTTATCGTTACAAAAATAAAATAAAAATAAGACACATACTGCGTATACTCGTGTGTGGCTTGCTTGGAATTTACAGGGAATATAACCCGCCACTCATCCCCTCACCTATTAGGCCCTTCTCTGTGCTTGACGTCACTGTTTTGTAGGCAGCGTCCGTGCTTTGGCCCTCTTCCTCGTTGCTCGGTGAGGAGGTCCTCTCTGAGGTGTTCCGCCGTTTCACCGTCCCGTAATTACCCTCGTAAGTGTCCGACAGCGAGCTGGACGACGCCCAGCTCTGCCGTGACTGATTGGACACGTCAGAGCCAGAACCCCTGAGGTTCTGTTTGGCAGCAGCATCGTTAGCCCACGCGTGACCCACACTGTCCACCTCTGCGATCGGTCCGGTTAACTGAGTGTGCTTGAAGCCGCCCAAGTGGGCGTGCTGCAGGGCAAGCGACGGGTGTCCGTGAATACCGTGGTCCCAGGGCCGACATGAGGAGGCGGGCAGGCACTGGAAGGAGTCGTGGGAGTTGGAGGAGCAGGATGTCCAGCTGCCACGACCGCTGTCGGCTACAGAGTCCAGAGAGGTTTGGTCTGGTGTCAGCTCCTCGGCTGAGATGGAGGAGGTGAAGGTGGAGCCGCGCGTCACGTATCCGCGTGCAGACGATGAGGAACTAGAGCGAAAAAAGAAAAAAAATAGCTGAGATTAGCCGTAAATAGATTTGTTTTTGTCCCCAATCCCCGGTTCAGGGACCAGTGCCGGTCCGTAGGTCATTTGGTACCAGGCCGCAGTGGGACATAGTGAAAAACTGTACTTCAGTTTTACAAATTGACTTCATTCAAAAAGAAATCCAGTCATATCTCTTTGATTTTTTTTTTAAATTAAAGATAATCTGACAGTGTTTTAAAACAACAGGTCATTCAGACTCTGATGCTAACAGAATAAAGTCTGAAAGATGTTTTATTTAGAAAATGTTAATGATGACGCGTTATTACCGGTCCAAAGTAACGGCTAATTCCGGCCAACCGGAAAATAAATTACAGATTCTACAGCATTAAGAATACTCAGAAGTGCTTCAAAGGCATTTTAAAAAAAAGTTATAAACATTTATCCTCCATATCCACATTCTGACAGTGTCACTAATCTTTGCGTCCTGATTTTTTAAATAATGAATAAATTCAATTTCAATATTGAGCAGTTTGTTTCATCGTCACGGTTTCTTCCCAGGGGAATAAAACTGCTCAGTGGACAAATTGTGGACACAATTTTATGAAACAGAGTCAGTTTACACAGCGACGCTTTGGAGGTGAAACAATACGAGAGAAGCAGCTTCATTAATGTGTTGCTGGATATTTTATGTTTATGTTTTTGTTTTGTTTTTTACAAGATTGAAAGAGCTCTCTTATGAAAGCACAATAAACCCACTGCAGACGAAACAAGGCTGCAGTGCACTGAATAAATATTAGAAAATTGCACATGTGATCTCTGTCTTTACATGTCACAATTAAAATAAATAATACAATAAATGTTTTTTTATAAATTATCTTATTAGTTTTCTTTATTTTTCAAATTTATTTTTATTATATGAAAAATGTTATTTGACACTAAGATCTACTGGATATATTTTTTAAAAACAAATATTTTTATAGTAATGGGGTCACGTGTTTTAAGAATGATCTAATATTTTATAAAACTGAATATAATTTTAACAAATAATCTACCATCTCAATCCAAATTGCATCTCTGAATTCTCCTGCAGAGCAGAATAAGGGCCCGTCACGGAAAATACTGCACTGACAGCACTGTCTAAAACTCTAAGAAGTGAATATCTGAAAAACTTTTTTCTTTTTTTTTACTTGTTTTCTGTTGTAGCTGCAGATGTGTCTGTTTGGGGGGGATATGCTTCTTGTACAGTCTTTTTTTTTTTTTTTTTTTGCAGCTTCTCGTTCTGCTGCTCTGCTGTCAGTTCATCCTGACTCTCCGTTGTCAAACTCCAAAAAGTGTTCCACTTAAATAGATCAGAAAAATCTGATGTGGAGAATCCACCATCTGTATTTTTGTGAAATGGTACGGAGTCACACTGGAGTGATCGTATCAGATTAAAAAAGATAAACCCGCTGCAGACCAAACAAGGCTGCAGTTTACTCCGCCAGATTACAGATTAAGGTGAACACAGACAGAGGAGAGAAAAGAGCAGTAAATGGGAGACACTCGTAAAACAACCTGTGTGTTTTATGTCTTCCTGTTTTAATGAGGAAAGGCCCAATTTGGACCGCAGCTGTGGGGAGGGTGCTGGAGCAGCAGACGGTGCACGAGACTGGAGAAATTCTTTCCAATGGACTTTGTATTTTTAATTCCTAAAACTACAGAATTATGTTTGAACCAAAGGAACGTAATTTCTCTAGTGATTCCTTGTTGTATTTAAGGCAAGGGCTGCTCAACTGTGTGTGGTCCGTATTCTGTGATTATCAGGTCAGTCAGGCACATAAACTCCACGCCGACACGGCCAGTAAATAACTGCCCCCAAAGGGGTTAAAACATTTTATCTACCGGTTCTAAAACTGTTGTTAGTATTGTTTTGTTTTTTTTACCGTTTTTTTTTTTTTTTTTTTTGCAGCTTCTCGTTCTGTTGCTCTGCTGTCAGTTCATCCTGACTCTCCGTTGTCAAACTCCAAAAAGTGTTCCACTTAAATAGATCAGAAAAATCTGATGTGGAGAATCCACCATCTGTATTTTTGTGAAATGGTACGGAGTCACACTGGAGTGATCGTATCAGATTAAAAAAGTGACTTACCTTGTACTGGGCTGACTGTGGTCAGCATTCGAATGTGTGTGCATCCCTGCCGTGCCGTCCGCACCTGCAGCAGCTGCTGTGGACGTAGCAGCGACGTTGGCAGCAGCTGCGCTGGTTCTGCTGTTGCTGCTGTTACACCGATCATCGAGACCGGGAGCCGGTACGGAGTCCACCGAACAGATACTGGAGCGGGAGGAGATCTCACTGTGGCTGGAGTCAGACAGGTTGTCGGCTTTACCAGGAGGTAGGAGAGGATAACCTGCACAGAGGGGATGGAGAACACAGTTGTAGGAATTTATTTTAAAATTTTTAAAAAAGGGAGACGTTTTTGAAAAGAAACATTGAGTAAAGATTTTAAAATGATTTAAACAAGGAAGTCGTTTACCTGAAGCACACTGCAAAAGCATGAAATCAAGCGGTTGCAATAAAAAAAAAGCTTTACTTATGAAATTGTGACAATAGAACTGTTGAGAAAAAAAAGCCTCAAACTCGATGGCTACAAAGTACATCTCGAAGTATTTTCCAAAATTACCTGTATAATTTTTGACACAACGTGAAGACATAAAAAGTTCAGAGAGATATAACTACAAGGCAGTGTTTTATGCAGCGCCACCTACTGTAGACTGTATTGTCCTGCCTCCCTACATGGACACATCCACAGTTATTGCTAGAAAAACGTCACTGATTTTTAAACACTATAACTTAAACAAAAGGACGATCCTGTTTGACGATCCTCATCAAACAGAGGAAATAAAATTAACATGTTGAAAACGTCCGTTGGAAATAATTTGTCCTGGTGCACCCTGCACGCAGCAGCATGTCATAGCTTCATAACCTCAAAAGAGGGTCCTCCCTGCCCTGCACTCCGAGAACGCATAACCTCAAAAGAGGGTCCTCCCTGCACTCCGAGAACACGTGCTCTAAGGAACACAGGCTTACAAAGGGAACTTTACCTAACAAGATTGAACTGAATTACCATTTCCTGCAACGGCAGGAAAACTAAAAAAAAATGGCATCAACAGGAGTCACTTCACAGGTCATGCTGTCCTGGTTAAAAAAAAACAAAAACACATTCACTACTTTAAAACATTCAAATTAAGTTAAATCTGTTTAACAAACAAACAAGATTTTTACAAGAAATCAAACTAATTTTTTTTTTTTTTTTCGTGTCGGACAAGAGCTGACTTCACCTCAACTGAAAAACGTTTTTTTTTTTTTTTTTATCAACTAGAAAGAGACGTTCTCTCTCGTCACAGTTTCAACTCAGTCTTCTTCTGTTCTCCCTCTCCTGGCCCCGCAGAGCCAGAGGAAGGTGTTGGGACTACGCGACCTCCTGCTTCTCTTCCCTGCCTGTCTCAGTCTCTCATCCTGAGGTGTCTCCAAGTCTGGCCTCTCCCTGGACTCACTCCTCTCTCTTTTTATCCTGAACCATGACATCAGCCCTTTCCTGATGGGAGACTCTGAGGATCTCACTCTCAACAACAGCTTAGGCTGCGAGTGAGTGGGTCGAGCCTCGGGGGGGATTACTAGTTGCACCTCACGTGAACCTGCCCTTTTCTCTGCAGGACATCCTGCTCTTGCCCTCTGCAGTATCAGCCTTGTCCCTCTTTGTTGCTCTGGACACAGAACCTCCTCTGCCTTTTCCAACCTTTCCTCCCTCTCCATTGTAGTTATTTTCTCTTCCTCCTTCTCTTTATCTCCTTGCTCCTCTCCCTTCCTGCTCTGACGACGGGTCAATTGCAACATCTTCTTGTGAAGAAAAGCCCCACCTATGCCGTAGCTGCGCAGGCTGACGGTGCCGGCCTTTGTGCTGGCTTCACTGGTCAGGGATGACGACGACCCCGACAGGTTCATCTGGCTGGAGGTCTGGGACTTGGCCACACCTACTGAGACATTTTTGATTTATTAATTTATTACTCATTTTATAATTGTATTTTTCTGTGATAAATAAATAACAGGGTTAATGGCAAAGCTCCAAACCTTTCCGTGGGGAACCCTGTGGTGATGGCGTGGGGCTGGAGTGAAGAGAGGAGACGGTGGAGACAGTGTCATCAGATGGTCGCTTGGAGCTCCACTCCTCTGAGGAGCTCACAGGAGGTTTCTTTACAACCTGAGGAGAGTTGGAGTCTGTAGAAGCAAAAAAAAAAAAAAAAGAAGAAGTTTACTCATCCAAAAGAAGCCTGGAAATGTAATGGATATTTTCCAAATTATTAAAAAAATATTTTAAGTATTTCACCATCTGAGAAGAAGTTTTTATTTCTATGCTAATAGAGAGGTGTACTCACTGGGCGTGCCGATGTCCTTGGCTGTGCTCTTCTTTCTCAGTGGGTTCAGTGGGACCTGGACTTGGAGGACTTGTGAAACCCTGTTCTGCGTTTTGGACGAGGGCAGAGCCGACCGCAGAGACACCGGTGACATGTCAGACTTGGTGGATCGTCTCTCACTCAAGTTCTTAGACACTACAGCCGTAGGAAAGATGAGAAAAATGCAACAAAAAAAAAGTTGGTTGTTTTGATGCTAAAACTTACAATCATCTTTCATTTTACGATTAATTGAAGTTTCATTATTACATTCACGTTGGAATGCATTTTAAAGAAGGATACTTTTTATACACTAGGGGGCAGTGTAAGACAATAATCAGCTATTCAGCTACTAGAGCATGATGATGGGTTGCATTTTAAAATTTAATTTGCACCATTTTATTTTATAAGAATTACTCCAAAATCAATACTGTGGTGTAAACAAACGTATCTTGATTATAAATATATAAAAGTATTTGCAGTAATACTAAAATCATCTGTTTGTCAGAACAAGTTCCATGTCATTTTCATCTGTATTTACGCCTCTAATACATTTTGGGAATCACAAGATACTATGTACACGTGATGGCGCTGTTACTCACAGGTGCTGTAGGCCGGCTCACACTGCAGGGACATAATCTGATGTTTCTCCTCGTCCGACTCCACCACGAGGTTGGACAGGTACTGCTTCACCTTCCGGGCCATCTGTGCGTCCTCATACAGCTTCTTGGCGTTGAGGAGCGAGCTGCGGCGGACTCGCTTCTTGTGGGCGCCTCCCTGCACGTCCAGCATGTTGGAGTTGGTGCTGCCCTGACTCAAAGACCTGAGAAAGGAAAGGAAGAGTGAGGAAGAATAAATTATCTACGGTAGACGTCGACAAAGCAAAGCACATACGTCCTCTGATGTCACATCTGTGAATGTGTTTTGCGTTGGAGCATGTCATTTAGAGGAAAAAAAAACCATGCAACTGGGAGGGGAGGCAGTTGTTGTGGGTGAGCCATGCTTCACAGAGCAGCAGAATATTCTATCAGATGGAGGCCGAACGGAGTCAGGAACAAGATGCACGCAATCGGCTGTGTGGAATATTTCTGTATGTCAGGAGGCAGGCATAAACAAGCAGTAATATAACAGGTGACATGGTAACTGTCAACATGTTAACTGTCAACATGTTAACTTTAGTTTAACTTACTAAATGGCTGGTTTCATTTCAGGCCTTTTTTAAGGGAGTTTTTAATCAGATTATAGCAGGGTAGCTGTGGATTTATCTCAATTAATCACGATTAATTGAGATAAATCAACATTCCCGTATTTCACAACTTTTTATTTTTTATATATTGCTGGAACAGAAGGACAAGTAGCAGCAGGTAGATGTACAGTATGTGTTTCACCCCTGTATTTGTGACTAATGCAAATCATGGAAGTATTTACATGAAAAAATGCCAAAAAAATATGCAAAACTAAAACTCAAACTGTAGCTCATCAGCCGTAGCCTCACTGACTTCCTAACACTCGGTCAGACTCTCAAGCCGAGTCTTCAACTTCTCACCCGAAGATGAAGCCTCAACTAACACCTAATGGTCGTTGAGATGGCATTTGAAGCCTGAAGTTTTTCAGTGAAACTTTTTCCCACAGTCCGTGCAAATAACAACGCGTGTATCAGAGCAACGACTGGGGAAAGCACAGCGGAATTACTGGAGCGCGTCACTCTGCCCACGTGTTAAAATGCAAACAATTTTTAATCTGGTTAATTGTTTTACATTTTAGTTAATGTCGTGAAAAGGTTAATTTTGACAGCTATAATTTAGTTGTAACTGAGAGCTTTGCAAGACCTGGGTCTATGCTATTAGCAACTCAAGACAATTCATCTGAGTGAAATAATTTAAAAGTGTTTTAAGTTGAAAGATTTTTAATTATTTTTATTTGTTATTTTTAAAACCTAAACAGCTGTAGAAATGAAATGTATACTTCAATAAAGGTAGCTGACTGACCGTAGAGTTGTTGTGTATTGCTTCATTTTTTGTTTGTTTTTAATGGTTTGGGAAAATAGTAAAAATGCTCTCAACTGAACTTGTATATTAATTAAAATAAAAAAATAAAAAAATATATTGCTATACAGTATATATATGCTAAGAGGTTAAACACGTATCCATATGAGTCAGTGATGGACGTCGGTTTGGTTCAGTCAGTGTAAACTCACTGCAAATGAATGGGTTAGACACGCACAGGCAGAACAAGCATAATATGGGGACACTCGGACATATGATGAAGGGAACATGCGGTATTTAATGGTGGTGGGGATGCAGGGTGGATTTTTTTTTTTCCTGCTGGTCCGGATTAAAACAGGATGAAACCGGTACCAGCACCAACTTACCCTAAACTCTTCCACCTCTTCTTCCTGCAAGCAAGAAGCGTGAATATTGAAGCGTGATTTAAAGACAAGATCAAGGGGTCAGGGGGTGAGGGGGGTGGAGACAAGACTATGTTGATGCCATGACGCCGCAAACAGCAGATGATCGGACATGTGAGGACACCTGACGTGGGACATCTCCCCATATGAAAGTGTGCTGTGACTTTGTGCTTGTTACGCAGTTTTTCTTCAAAAAAATATTTACACAGTCCAGAATAAAATATTTACATTTTGTCAAAAAAAAAAAACCCAAAAAAAACCTAATACAAAATAACATAAGACTTTAGTCTTATATTTCTAGGCTCAAGCTATCATGAGCTTGCAGTATGAAGAGAGTGTCTGCAGGGGGCGGCCATGCTCTGCAGCAGTGACACACGGAGAAACACACACACAAAAAAGAAAAACATGGAGCGATAAAACGACTACGCTGCAGTTGGCATCAATTCTCCCTCACTTCCAGGCGATCCATGCCTTGGGTAATTATGCAGTTACATCCCAGCAGAGGAATGCAATGGAAAAGAACACCAAGAGTCATGAGGCAGACAGGAAGTGGATGGAGATTGATTGAACTTTAGCTCCTGCAGGTCTGATCCTGCTCAGTAGGTGGAGGATTCAGGTCTGCTGGTAAAGGTGTGGTGCACTGTTTCCTCTTTTGACCATATTTAGAATTTCGGTTTCTGTTTTGCAACGTCGGACTTTCTACACACCTAAAAAAATTTTTTTGAGAATTTTCCCAAGTTGTAATAAGCTACCGATATACAGTTTTGAAGACGCAAACTTTCCGTGTTCTTTCCAGTGAAGTAAACTCACTGACAAGAATAAGGTTTCACTTGCAGCATTTCAATGTCACCTACATAAAATACTTTAAGTACTGAGATTTCAGTGAAAACCTAAGGATGAAAATTTAAAAAGTGCTAATTTTAATATAGTATTACAAAAATAACACACTGTTAAAACCACATAACTTGAAGCCTTGAACTTGAGTCTTAAAGAAGGATTCGCTTCAATAAAAAAAAAAAATGTATTTGTATGTGTAGTAACTGAACAACCAACCTCTGTCTGAACATCAGAGCTGGGTCCATGTTGGCGGAGGTCATCCGCACCACGTGTCTGATCTCCTTAGCGATCATCCTGAGCTTTTCAAAATTCACAAGACCATCTACGCTGGAGTCATTGCCTGGAAGGACGAACACACAAACACACAAAAACAGTAAGTGTGAAGACAGCTGTCAATGTCGCCTGTGACATAATTTATTTATGCTTTCAGTTTTTTGCAGTCTGAAAAACTTATTTCGACATCAGTACTTTTAATAGACAACCTTTGAAGGTACAGCTTTTTTTGGTTTGTCAAAGAAAAGGGAAGAAAGGGAAGTCCTTAGCGGAAGTAAACTGTACACAACAGGAGTCTGAAACTGGCCCTCGCAAGACAGAGGAAGTGCCGCGTCAAACTGAAAAGGACGACGAGTCAAAACTCTAAACTCAGGATAATGTCTCATTCTAGTCGCATAACTAGTTTTACCTTCATGTAAAAAGGTGAGGTCCTTCTTGACCACTGGGAAGAGGGGAATGATGGGAGGCTGCATGCTCTGGCTGCTCAGGATGTTGCGGTATTTGGCCATGTTCCTGGACGGGTCAAAGACGTCCTGCAGGTCCCCGAACAGCTTCTCATACTTACTGGGCAGCTTCTCCCACGAGCTGCGCAGCCGTGCCACTGGTGCCAAGTTCAGACCGCTGTGGCAGAGGAGCGAGAACAAAAGTGAGTTTGTGAAATATCTAGGCTAGGGTGGAGAGAAAAGGAGGACAAATGTGCAGGCAGAGGTGACAGGTGCACAGCAGGTACGGCTAATTAGCCAGCAGGGCTTTGTTGTCGGAGCCGACGCTGAAACGCCTGAGATTCGCAAGAGTTGAAGAGAGTCTCAGCGTCTAAGACACGGGCGGTCGGACTGGCCTGTAATTACAGCTGCTGTTGTAACTGACGTTCAACGTGTTAACCTGTTGCTAAGAAGGGAGGAAGGCAGATACCGCATCTGTCGCTACTGTGTTTGTTTGTGGAAACTTCAACTCAACATGCTGCTGACACAGCTGCCATTAGCAACCTTAGCAACGAGGGAACGTGTAACAGGCTATGGTTTGGTATCTATGAATACACAGGTTGATGTAAGACCATTTTTTGCAATATTTTTATCTGTATGTGTTGCTGCCACCTAGTGACTGGAGGATTGTTATCGTTCATGCATTACAGCAGTGGTACACTTATGTCCAGCGGCCCATATTCCACTGGAAGCCCCCCCACCACCTGGCACCCCATCGTACCACCCAGGGGGCCCGCCCCACTATTTGAGAAATACAGATGTAAGAGCTTTATTCTGATCATCTAACCTGCTCAATTTAGCTGATGGACCAATTATGCACCTTAACCATGTAAAAAAGTAGAAAATATCACCTGGTCTCCACTACAAAAGCAACAGAAAAACCAACAACTGAGACTTAAATAAATATCAGTATCCTAAACATCACGTAATAATATTAGACAAAAATGTGATTTTTATTTTACAAAACTGTCTGTCAAGAATAATTTTGCACCCCGTACAAATATAGCTGCTGAGCCCTGCAGTAGTAGTTATAGTTATAGTATAAAAGTATTTCTTTGTGCAGTTCGGAGGAGTCAGGACTGATGTCATCTGGCAGGGCTGTGTGTGTGTGTGTGTATGTATGATGCTGTTTGTCAAGACCGATTCTCTTGAGGAGGTTCGTTTGGTACATACGCTGCCACGGGAAATGGTATCCAGGCTCACTACTATCACTCACTCACACACACACACGCAGCTCACCTGATGATCGCAAACATGGAGTTGAAGTTTTTGCATTCTCTGCAGTGCAGGGCGATCTTGATGAAATGCTTGATGGTCTTCATCCTCTTCAGGGTGTTGGGCTCTTTTAGGATCTCCGTGGCGACCCAGAAGGTCTCCTGGTTTATCACCTCCTCAAACTGCTTCAGATTACCGCTTCCCACTGAGGAGTCTAATTTGAATAAATCATCCACATATCTGGAAGACAGAGAAGTTCATTAGCAAAAAAACAAACAAACAAAGTTTGAATTTGTTTTAAGTTTAAATGAACTCACTCTGTGGACTCGATATTTCTGAAGAGCTCAAAGTCTCTCATGGAGAGCTGAGCGGCCACCTCCATGGTGCTGAGCTGCAGCAGAGAGATCTGGCTCTCTCTGAGGAGGTCCTGGGCATCCTCGTCTGAGCACAGTGTCTCAGTCTCCATGTTGTTTTTCAGGTAGTACCTATGGGAAAACACACAAGTGAGAGAGAGGTCAACCAGGAACTGGGGTGTTTTATTTGGGGAAGGAGACAATGTATAGAAACCAACAACGTAATGCAGTCAAATTGATTGTGACATCCTTTGCTATTTAACTACGTACATTTGAAATGAAAATCCAAGGTATATATATATACCTATATACATAGGTACTTTGGTATATATATACCTATATATACCTATACCTTATATATTAAAAAACATTAAGAAAAAAATCAACAAAAATCAACTATGAATAACGAATATTAAAAAAAAAACCCATTAAAACAGCAAAGCACTAAGACAAAAAAAAAACAAACAAGAACGTACTTTTTGTCACCACATTATTTATGATGCACATCGATGTTCTAACAGATTTCGGGTGTCTTATTTTTAAAATGTTTTTCTGTGTCAAGAACATAAAACATGGTGAAACCACTCAAAGAGGAATTAAACTCTTACTACATAACTGAAAAGCTGTGACACGTGCCTAAAGCTTCAATGAATATCATAAATAATTAAACTTTTTTTTCTGTATGTGAATTTCACAGATAGTAAACAAAACTACAGTAACTGCATCAGAAGTTCTACTTCATCGTTTAATGCTCAGTAGAGTGGACAAAAAAAATAAAAAATCTCATACAGAGGCATACATACATACAACTCGTGCATCTTTCAAAGTAATGCTCAGTAGAGTGGACAAAAAAAAATAAAAAATCTCATAGATTTTTTTTTAACTCGTGCATCTTTCAAAATATCTGGCAAAAAACTCAAAGTTGGTTTGTAGAGCAAAGACATGCTTTGATTGTACTTTAAGATTAGTGCACGGCTTTATTTATACGTCCAGCGCCGGGGACAGAGTGTAAAGAGATGTAAAAAGGCTCCGAGCCAACAGGAGGTAACAGAAAAATGATTTCTTTTGTAGAAGAGAACTCCAGCAGCTTTATGTAAGAACTTAGAGACGAAACAAAAAAAAAAATCCAAAACCATCCACAAGCAGCGGCATGTCTGGCTTTTTGAAACACACGCACGGTAAAAAGAATCTTCAGGGATTGTTTGACATTTAATCTACCTTTGTAACAAATCAATGCAACATATATTTAAAAATCTTTAGGAGACCCGAGGCTTTAAAAAGGAATAAAATGATATGAAAGGCAGGGATAGAAATGGAGAAAAGGAATAACAACGAGGGAGAAAAGGAGACGGGTAACTGAGAACACGAGCCACAAAAAGACGAGGGAAGAGGAGACGAGGGATGAGGAGGTGAGAGGGAATAAGAGGAGATTTAAGTAATGAAGATCAAAGCGGTGCTAAGTAGACCTGGGTGAAGCAAAGTGACTGGAACTGAGCCATCCCAAACAAGCGTCGGTGTTGTGTGAGTGTGTGTGTGAAGCTCAGGGATAAGTTGCCACACGTGTCCTCTATTCTTCTCCCCGTCTGTCATGAACGATGCGCAGACAGAAACGTAACAAAGACGCAACTGTGGGCCGTTCCTAACATCCCCTCGTGCCGAATACACACCACATGCACACGTGTATGTGAATATGTTTAAAATATGTCAACGCGACGGCAGGCCGTCAACGTGTTAGCGCTTACGTCCAACAGGACAGATGGTCTTTATTAAGCCCGTCGCTGAAACGTCACTTCTTCCCCGGCACACACGACATGAAGGAACGTGCTTGTCCATTCACGTTAGAGCCAAGTCGGATAGATTCACCCATTTTAAATGCACGCCTACAAAATTAATGCTATTTCTGTCGGAACGGGATGTACAGACTTGTATGTATGTAAATGCACGTGCCTGCGCCGAGGGAGGTGGCTGTCTGAGTCTGTGAATGAATAATTCCAGACATGCCATCGTGTCTGCTGAGGCCTCTCTGCCCTCGAACAGAGGATGAAATATTTATGTTAACCTACTTGGGGAGCGACTGATAAGACACCAGACGGAGGGAGAGGACAATTTAGAAAGCTCGTTGTTGCCAAATTGTCCAAAAATTCCGATCTCTAAAGAATGTGTTTACGTATATGTTTACAATTGACATACAATAAAATACAACCAAAGCACTGTCAAAGAGCGGTGATGTCGGATTTCTTTGTTGTGTTGAAAAAAATATATATATAATTTTTTTTTTAAAGGTATAAAATGAAAGCCCGTAGAGAGCAACTGCAGGTTTTTGTTTCCCCCTCCAAAAAATACTTGATCTATGAATTAACTAAAGCTGGATAGTGTTTCTGAGCAGGGCTTCTGGTCCTCAGGACCTCAAGAGTCATTTACTCAGGCAAATGATTTATAACCCTGCATAGCTGGAGAAAGTGAATTCAGTAAATCACTGCACCTGTTTCCCCCAAGAAAAGCACTGAAAACTGCCGTTCGGGGAGAGTTACGTCACTGCACAAACACTAAACATGACTGGCTCGGCTCGGAATCACAGCGTTATACGAGTTCACCCTGAAGACGGTGTGTGAGTGGTAAAAAAATGTCTCAACTCGGTTCCCGGTGGGCCGGACTAGTACAATTATAACATAATTAACTATAAATAAGAATAAATTTTGTTTTCTCGTGCAAAAAACTACAACTATATTAGATATTTATTCATTCATATTTAATAAAATATAATTTTACAAAAACTATCTTGAACGTGAAGTGGTTGTGTATTTTTCTTATTTTTCAAAATTCATCAAGCGGGCCGTATTGAACGCCCTAGTGGGCCAGTTTCGGCCCGCGGGCCGTATGTTTGACACCCCTGTGCTAAGGGTACAAAACAGCAAAGATAGCAGAAAATAAAAAAAAACAGTAAAAACTCTATAATACTATGTTTTATTCCTTGTTGCTTTCTGTTCAAAAATGTTTTGTTACTCAAAGTTTATTACTGCATTTTCCCCGTTGCCAAGCGCCGACAGAATAACTGTCAAAAAAAGCTCCTTCCAACCACTTTGTAAGCCCCGAGGCAAATACGTGAGCAGCCAATTCTAACAGGCCCTTGGAAGCACATTTTTCTGAACTACGACACTCGGCTCTGGTGTTCCTCTCCTGCTTCTTACCTGCCGTTGAGCTGGATTCGATCAGCCAGCTTGGAGAGCTGGTCCGGCAGGCGACGCTGCTTGATGACGCCCTCGGGGCTGACGGACACTTCACACAACGAGTAGTTTTCGGGGGCTGCCAAGAGGCCGAATTCATTGACGGTATGCGTGACCACGTCCTTGGCAGTGGTGTCCTTACTGATGATGATGTAGCAGCTCTGCTGGTCGGCCTTGAACACACGGATCACCTGGTCTGGGATGTCTGAGAGTGGGAAGGGGCGACAAATCACAGGTAGGTTAAGTTTAGGTTTGAGAAAGCGCAAAGCCACAAACAGAGATATAACAATAATAGACGTTTGATGTGGGTTACATAACACAAACATTTCCCATGACTGAATTAATGTCACTTGGTTGGTGTAAGGCAGAGGGCACAGTCCATTAGCTGCAGGAAGCTAAAGACGTTTAAACCGTTGAATTATGAACGCCGTCATGGACAATAGGAGTCCAACACAAAAGATAAAGCTGTCACAACACTGTAATATGACCGTGCGTTGCGTGTATAATTTGTTCAACCAGGCATACGATGCATGAAGGATCATCAGGAGCACATAAATGCGATTGCACGCGCAGTTGTGTGTTGACAGAAGCAGAGACGCCGGCGTTATCATCAGTACGGCGGCGGCGGCACATTACGCCAACATGAGCTAAAGGCACAACCATTAACAACACAGTTCGAGTAAACGTTGACTATCAATCTTGTTCTGATTTTTTTGTTTGTGTGAATCAGAGCTAACAACAGGGATGGGTCAGGATTTTCAACAGCCTAAATACATTTTTAAATACATTTGCTCTACATGGAAGAGTTATTAATCAGGAATTAATTTTTAGATCATTAAAGTTCTGGGACGAAACCTGAAAAAAAATTATTAGTTAAGAGGGACACATTTTCACCTGTCAGGCTTTGTCTATTTGTTGTCAAGTTTGTTTATAGACAGATCTGCAATTATTGCTAAATCTTGGATTATCCAAGGCTAAAAAAACTCAGCTATAAAGCACATATACTTGCTATAGAATACAATATATATATTATATTTGTCTTTGTCACAGTCATTGCTTTTTATCTTTTTTGTTTAGCTACTGTCCACGGTTGCAACCCTCAACTAGCTATTAGCAATTAGCTACTTTATTATCCTTGTCTAATCCGTGCACAGTGCAGAGTAACAACTGTACCGCATTTTATGCTATTTTTTTTAATAAACTTTTATTACGATGTGTGCGCGATACAAATATCGCCATACTCTACGGCTGCTGTAAAAGGACTCCGGGGTGCGGCACTGATCCGTGACAAATTTCCCTGCGGACACACGCGCCATCTTTACTTTGCCACATTATCTGAATTGATTTCTAATCCAATTTCTCCACCTTGACACGTCGTGCTATATCAACTACCAATCCCTAAAGGGACCAAATCTCTCACATCAGTTGCGCTCCTCAACATGCTCCTCATCCTCAAGTGATCATAACAACACAACACGTTTAAATGTTTTTTTTTTCCTCAGCATTTATAATTACTGATTTACACAAGGTCACGTATTGATTTCTCTCACGGTGGCAGTGACGAATGACCGACTTATAGACTGTAAAGTGTCAGAAATATTGACGTGGAATGTACGGCGTTAGCACTAAGGACGACTGAAGGTCAAGTCTGCGGAGAGAGACCCACTCCCAGAGTCCGAAATAGAACAACTTTGTCAGACTTTTGAAATGGGAGTTGCAGGCGCAGAGGTCCGTTTTGTTTATGTGCAGTAGTGTGGTGGAGGAAAGGCTGAGTGGAAGTGTAATGCCTCTTGTCTCATTAGCAGTGAATTATGATTAGAGTGTGGGAAGCTCTCAGCTAAATATCTGGCGATCATATCCGGGGATCAGAGGGAGATGACAAACTGCAATCTAGCCTGCGCACGGGAGGACGGCCACTTCCGCCCACCGAAGTCAGGCGTCCAATCAATTCCCTCCTTTTAACAAGGTATCATTGACATTCATTCACATTAGAGCAGTTGACAAACTAGCAGCTATAGAGCAGCTCAGACCAGAGAAGTCGGGGAGTAGCGTTTTTGCAGACACAGCACTACAGAGCGAGGCTACACTTCCCACATCGTCTTATCCGTCTCCTTTACTTCTCCACCGTTTGCCGAAGCTTCTCCCAGTCTCTCCGTCATACAGTTGGGAGACATAAATCACAAGTGAAAGCATCCAGATAAGAGGAGGGCCGGAGATGACGGAGGCTGGGAGAGCACTCAGGACTGGAGCGTTAGGAGGGAATTAAGGGCTTAACACAAAAAAACTCTATTAAAACTAAGTATAATAACTATAATAATGTATTTACAGGAAGAATATATACACATGTGTGTTTATATATATATATAATAGAGGTTCTAAATATATATATATACTCACAGTACAGTCCCAGGGCTTGTGAGCAGTGAGGAGGAAAAGAAAACAGAGTGAACGAGGGAGTAAGAGTGCAGCATAAACCGTGACACAGTGGTGAGAAACAACATGACACAAATTAGAGGGAAGACCAGCAGAGTCTTAATCTGTTTATGAGACGAGTTTATGCGAGAGGGGAGCATGACTGTTAAAGATCACTGCAAAGAAGAAGCCTGAAGAAGGAGAAGTTAAATGACTTACAGTGATATGGTGAAAGTGAACGTGTTAAAAAACAAAACAAAAAAAACAAAGAGCAAATTAAAGATCTAATTTGTTTGCATTTCTCAGAAGAAAAGTTGGCCTGGTTGAAAAGATGGCACAGGAAAGACAAAAAGGTCCATGGATAGTCAACATAAGACAAACTACAATAAAATAGATTTATGCCACTTTTAGTTTTCTACAGAAGACGTGGCTTTATCCAACACAGTTTCAATTAACAGTAACATGTCTTTAAAATATGTGCAATCACACAAGATTACGATTACTTTGCCCAAGAACAATTTCTTTGATTGGTTTTTATAATTATGAATGGGTAAAAGTCCATGGTTCCCAAACCCCTTCTTCACACAATCACAACTATCGCTTAAAAAACTCCACTGAACTTTTCCTCTAAAGTGCTGAAAAATTATTTTTAATCCTTCTTTGGAAACCACTGAGTGAGGAGGATGGACGGCATGATGTCAAACGCAAAAACGAAAGCAAAAGAAAAAATTGCAAATCTCTGCAATTTTCAAATAAAGTCAATTGACATTTTTCTTCATAGAGAATGAGGAGGAAATTGCATATGATTTTTTTCCCCCATGTCACCGATTCTTACACAATTACGTACAAAGACAAAATCAACCCTTAAAAAGACAGACACCAGATATCCGACTATGAAGACACTGTTGCATCGTCTACTTCAAAAAGCAATCGTAGTCCAGCATCACACATGACGAGGGAAATTTGAGAGCTGATGACATCATAGCTGATTAATGGGGACCTGTCAGTGTGTGTGTGTGTTTACTAATGTAACACAGCCACCTGTGATGAATGGCCCCACAACTAAGGGACAGTGTGTGGCTCGGTGACAAATGGCTGCTAAAATAAACATTTTCAGTCTTCCACACGTTCTCACCTTTCCACCTTCGACTTCCTGTTGTTTTACTCTTTTTTGCAGTTTTTCATCCCGGTTTTTGGAATAAAATAAAATATTTTTTTTCAGATTCAAGTACACTTTTACTACCAATGGCTTCAACCTATAATTTCTATTTTTTTTTAAATTATTTGTTGCTGCTTAGGTATGATTATTAGGAAATACCAAAGAGTTGGGGTGTGTGATTGAGCTGCAGACGTCTGTTGGTCAGTAGTGGTACTACACAATAAACTGTAAAACTGAGGTGAAGAATATTGACCAAGTGACCACTGATAAAATGCAAAAGATATTGGGTTTTTTTTTTCTTTCTTACCTGCAGGGTTAGAAAAGTCAAGGACGCTCGTGGCAGGCTGCAGCAGGTCAGGGCTGCTGGACGACAGGTTCCCAGGGATGGGCATGATGGCCACGCTGTGACGACACTGCTTGGTCCCAACAATGCTGTCGTCTTGAGAATGACCCATTCCACCGTCACTAAAGAGGGAGGCCAGGGAGGGGAGGAAACAGGGATTGGAAGAGATGTGGTTAAAAAAAATAATATTCAACTATTTTTGAAATAAAGTTTCAGTTTGAAAAATCAGTATTTTCCAGCACTAGCGGTCATGTGCAGCAGTACCACAGCTAACATCGTCTCATGACATGGTTTCAAGAACGACAGCGACGGACGGCATTCACAGAAGGTTACGGTGACAGTACACAACGTTACACAACGACAGTTTCACTCAGAAGAGACACAAAAAGAAGCTTAAGAAGAATGGAGAAGAAACGGAAGGAAAGAGAAAGTATACTCTTTCTAAAGAGATGTTTTTGTGGTTTTTGTTTTTTGTTTCCAATTTCCAAAATCATTTAGTTTGTGTTCAGTTGGACTGACTGCTAAAAAAAGACCACTTCCTCTATCTGTGTTAATCAACACATTGACCTTTGCTTGGCTTTTTTACGTTGCGTTCTTTGGATGTGAAACACATTTTGCAGAATACGTTTTGATCAAACACATTTCGAACGTGTGATGAGAAGCTAATGAATATGAACCCATATGTCGATGATTTTTTCCTTTTGGCTGAGTAGCACAATTTTTCTTGTGTTCTCGTTGCTGAAGGTCAGCAGTTGTGTACAGTGTGTGCCTGCGTTGTGTTGTGCGCAGATGGATACTGAATCAAATGGTTGGAGGAAGGCGAGTTAGTTGCACAAGAGGTCTTACCCAAACAGGCCCCTGAAGCAGCAGAGACAAACAGGAGAGAGACAAGATTGAAAAGAAAAGCTCAAGAAGCAAAGCTTTTTTTTTTTGGATGATTAAGCTGTGAGCTGAGCAGCCAGGACTGGGCACAAGTGTAAATATAACCCAGGTAGGTTTGATCTGATCAGACATCATTTATATACACAGACATGATGGCAGCAGTCTGGAGTGCACACATGTGTTTTTATCAACAACTGGCGGAAGGAAATTGCAAAATGAGCAACTTCTTTTCTTTTGAACTAGCGAGCCTAATTTTGAAAGATGACGTGGAGACACACAGGGATCACAAGTTTCTGCTAGTTTGAACTCATATCTCCATAGACAAGTTGGTTAAGTCCCTAAACTTCACTAACAGTATTTGTTATTTGGTAATGCAACTACGTACTGAAATATTTTAAGCTCTGTTCTCAGAGACCTTTGATAGATGTTTTTTTTTCTACCCAAGCTCAACAGTTAAAGCTGTAAAAAATAAAAACACAAGCTAATTAATGAGCCTTTTTAGAGTGGTAATCTTCATCTTGATTACAAAGAGAAGTGCTCCTACCTATAAAACATGAATTACTCATGCAGATGTATTCGTTTGCGAAACTTGTACGCTGTCACCTCTCAATTATTCACCGTAATTTCAAAGGCAGCAAAAGCCGGATATTCCTTTACCACAACTTCTTCTTCCTCTGCGATCCTTACCAAACTCAATCTTTCTCACAAATTTGTGATCTCAGCTCTAGCTCTTCGTCTTCCCGGACACTTCTCGCGACAACAATGCGAGCGGAGAGCCAAACCTGATCATCTTGACCGATGAATTCTGAGACTCACAAACACCTCATGTAATTTAAATCGTGTTCGCAACACATATGTCAACGCAACACGCAGGGAATAAAGAGCACCGGGCGACCCCGGAGCTGGCGTTTTATCATCATCTCATTAAATCACGGGCACGAGGGACCTGAGACTGAGCCCTGTGTCCATTGCTTTCTAATCTGCAGAAAGTAAATCACCTCAGCTGGTCAATATTGAGCGTGTAACAGTGTACGCACGAGCCCAGGCAGTAAAAACCGGCGGACTAAATGCGTCCTTGTCATATAAAATCTTGGTCCGAAATAAAGCGCAATGTCAACTTAGACGTACCACGGCGGACAAGTCGAGTAACACTGCTTATCATTGAACAATTAATTACATTTAATTGGGCATATCATGACGTGGTCAAGTGAGGCCAACACCTACAGAATGAGTCATGGAATGGCATCCTATTGAGAAAGTGTCCTTAAAACACCACAGCCCAAAATGCATTTTTCCTCACTAGGTGATTCCAACTCCAATTATTGTGTCCCGAGTTCAACCGCACACAATGATCTCATCTCCGGTCTCTTTAATCGACCATTAGTTCCTTTGAATCAAAGCGTGTATTCAGCGCTGCCGCCGAGCAGAATCAAAAGCATTAAAAACTCTTGTTTGGTCGATACATTGAACGCGGGGAAAGAGCTTCTGAGAGCTGAGTCAGATCAATGGCCCTGTGATGGCGGCGAAACGCAGATGCCACACTGAGGACAATCGGTTTATGATGTGAACTGTGTGGCATTGTAGACATAATCACTTCAACTGGAGGCTGCTGGAGGCCGCTGGTGACGCATGCCTGCATGCATTTGTGTGTAAGTGTGTGTGTGTGAGCTTATGGAGAGCAAGTTCACACACTGCAAGAACAGCATATTCCCTCTTCGGCACTGTCATGCAGTACGATGAGGCCAACAGAGGCAGAAAATGATGAAGTGAAATTAGGCCTGTATCAGCATGTTAGGGGTGGAATATTAAAGGGGAGTTTTCATCTTTAAAATGACTTCCAAGCGTTGCGGACCCTGTTGTGGATGGATACAACGATGATGTTTAAGAGGATTTTGATGACGATCTCAGCTCCTGCTCTATGCAAATCACATCGGAAGTGAGGAAGAAGTTCCGTCTTGGTGGAACAACAGATTAATAAGTTTAAATAGTGAAGCGAAAATCATCTTTTCTAAAAAAAAAAACCAGAACAAACAAGAAGAGACTTTACTGGAAAAACTGAAACATTATGGTCCAAATGATCCGTTTTAACCAGAAAAAGTGAGACATAATGGAAAGTCTATTTAAATGTAGATTCTATTTATAAAAAGGCAGTCAGTGTGTTTTTTTTTTTACCATTTTAGTCTAGTTTAGTTGATGAAATATCAAAACGAATTTAGTCAATCCAACTTAAAACTGCAAAATCAGTCCATTATTTCCTACCACACTGATTACAAAATGATAAAATGAGTATCCCTGCTCCTGGCTTCATATCTGCCGTTTATTTTCCTATCAGACACACATTTGCTATAACGTCCTATTTAATTAGAGATTAATTTTCTTCGATGAAATGAACATAGAGTACACAGCTCTAGTAGTAGTGTCTCGATAAGCAGTATGCCTGGTGTGTGAAAGCAGCATAGAGCCTCAGACAAACATCATCTCCTCTCTGTGAGTCAGTGACAGAGCAGACACAGGAAGCTGTTTGTTTTCCACTTGCACCGTCACAAGGATCACTGATTGCACAAAACCCTCTCACCTGAATGGTTTCGGTGGCAGGATACTGAAGCGCGTCTTCTCCAGCATCTTCCTGATCTTGTTGCGTCCTCCCGACACCGTGTTAGCCTTCATCTTCCTGGTGCTCTTATGGTCCGTGGCGAACTCCATGTCCCCGGGAAGGTCAGCGATAGAGAAGCGGTTGCCTTTTTTCTCCTGGATCTTGGGAATGTGAGGGCCACCGTTCTTCTTCTCGTGCACGATCCGACTGAGGAGTTCTTTAAAGACTGAGCACAGAAGGAGAAACTGATATGAATAATGAAAACTGACATCAGCTGAAAGCTGAAACATTTAGTTTTCGCTTACCGAATATATTGGTTTTGACTGTGAGAGAGAGGTGCGTGTTGTTTCGCAAGATGTCCACAGCTTTGGAGAAGGAGATGTTCTCAAAGTTCTGGCCGTTTATCTCCATGATCTGACACGATGACAAAATGTTATTTAAAAACACACATTAGGATCATCCTAAAATCTGCTTCACTTCATTTGTTTTCTGCTGCTTTACATCAACTTCACACAGTCATCAAGAAGGGAAATAAATTCCAAGACGCAGCAGTGTTTATCTTCCTCTAATTAAAGCATAAAAAGCACGTTCCGGGTAAAGCAGCAGCTCCTGAACCACCTTTAAAATGTAGCGTGCGTAAATTAAAGTTAAAACG